TGGGTGTGTGTGTGTAGGGAGCGAGACAGGCATTTTCAGGGGGTGGGAAAGGAGAGGAGGAAATGGGACTGCACCACCGGTGAGGGGCTGTGTGGCTTGAGTGTTCTAGTCAACTCCAGGTCAACCGTGGGGACAGAGTGGCTTAAAGCTGGCATCCTGGGGGCTCTTTTGTAGCCAGACTTGAAGGATAGATGGGTAATGGGTTTCTCCTGAGTTATCCTGCTTGTTTCAACATGGGACCCCCATAGGTGATTTCTGGAGAACTGACACAAATGGCGAACGGAGGGGCTGTGCGGCCACTTCCCTACCGATGGCAGGATCCAGAGGCTGCCACACTGCGCACAGGCTGAACATTCAGTCCTGCTCTCCCCCAGCCACCTTTCTAAACACCCAGACAGTGTATTTGTGGCCTTAAAAAGATCATATTAAAGCACCTGAATGTTTGCCTTAATTCCCATGTGTGTGTGTGAGAGAGAGAGAAAGAGAGAGAGACTATAGTCTAGTTTTTAGCGTATGTGGAAAGTGACTGGAGAGCCTTCTAAAGAAGATATAACTTCCAAATTCCTATGGCAATCCCACTTCTAAAAAATCTATTTTACCTATTTTTTTCTTAATTCAAACTTACTGTATTTGATTTCTTACAATAACATTACTTGTTGTAGAAAACCCTTAGAGCAAAGTGCTTGTCCGTGGCACCAAGGCTGTGGCCTCACTGTTTTTCACTTAACACATGGAGTCGGTTTGATTCCATTGATGGTTTCTCACTGAGTTCAAGGTTAAATGAAGGCTGCTTGGGCATGGACCTTCTCCTGTTCGTAGGCCTGGCGTTAACTTATTAGGGCCAAGTTACCTCGACACAGACGGAAGGGACAGGGAGGCTGCGCAGGCGACGTTGCTGGCAAACAAAGTACTCAGAGTTTTGATGAACATGCAGATGATGAATTGAAGAAAATATACATTTGCAAAGAAAGAAAATTTCAGACAGTGCTTGAATCACACCCCGTACAATGGAAATGCTACCAAGTTCTATAGATAGCAGCACATTTTCGGCTTGTAAAATATTGAGTGTTTAGATTTCCATAATTCTGCATTATGTTAGGTAAACCCAACAAACTGAACTAGCAAAAGAAAAACTAGTCTAATGTTATTACAAGTGATTAGAAATTGAATAGCTTTATAATG